TTTTTTTTTTTTTTTAGTGTTTATTTATTTTTGAGAGATAGCAAGCAGGGCAGGGGCAGAAAAGTTTCACATTAAATAAAGTTGTCCTACATAGCAGGGAAAGTAGCCCTTTCCATGTTTTTCTATTTAGTAACACCTAACTTAGTAATTTACTTAGCTCTATAACTATTGTAAATATTTTCCGAACATTTTCATTATTAGTTTTCTAGAAAGCATTTCACTTGTCCTGTAAAACAAGAAAAGGTACTTAATATTAATGATCATTAACATTAATGATCATCTCATAAGGATATGCTGGGCACTTTACATATGGAAGCATTTTCTGGGTAACTCCTCTGAGCTTGTTTCCATACTATCCTGCAGTTACTTATCTGTTAAGTAGAAATCCAGGTCTCTCTCTCACTCTAAAAGCACTAGATCTTTCTGTGATATATTTAAAAACCCACCTGAACTTCACCATCTTTACTATACAGCATCTTTTTTTCAGGAGGTAAACAAGATTAACTGTTTTTATATAATGAAATAGGTACCTTGTTACATAAAGATGTTAATTTTTTTTTAAGTCTGAATCTTTTTTAATTTGAGAGAGAGCACATGCAAGTGGGGGAGAGGGGCAAAGGGAGATAAAGAATGAATCTTAAGCAGGCTCCACACTCAGCGAGGAGTCCGACACAGGGCTCGATCCCATGACCCTGGGATCATGGAGCCGAAATCAAAAATCAGACATTCAACCGACTGAGCCACCCAGGCATCCCGTTAAAGTTCATTTTTATAGATGTATATAGATTCCCACAAATATAGTGAGCCTATCCAAGACTCACATAGGTGAATTCAATGTTAAAAAGCCTTTCATTTTACAAACAAACGTAAGTCCAAAAGAGTGTGTGACCTCCCCAAAGTGATTCTTCTACCATTTAATATATAATTGTTACAGAATATAAAGAGCAAGGGGTAACTTTGGGATGCCCATTTTTTGTCTTTCTAGGCTTTCAGTCACAAGTTAGAAAATATGTAACTATAAATATGATATGCCATCAGCATTTATAGGGAAGCCATATTCCAAAGAGCTCAGAAATAAGGGATGTTAATTTTCCTGGGATAGGGAGAAACATGACTAAAATGGAGAAGTTAAATGAATAGTACTGAGTTAGAAGCTAGGGTTTAAAGCCTCTAAGTTAGCAGGAATGAAAAGGTATCAAGTTACCTAAAGCCTAACTTAACTTTTGTTAGCAAAACTGTCTGTCTTTACAGTCCTTGGGTCTTACTTTCAAGACATTTTTTCTCATTCTTTGCTAATTACACACAAAACTCAAAGACTCTCTTTCCTCAGAGTACAAATATTAGGTTTCAAATTTTAGGAATTCAAGAAAAGTATGAGTGTAAACCCTACATTAAGAAACTTTTAGGGGCGCCTGGGTGGCTCAGTTGGTTGAGCATCTGACTTTGGCTCAGGTCATGATCTCACATTTCATGAGTTCGAGCCCCACGTCAGGCTCTATGCTGACAGCCCAGAGCCTGGAGCCTGCTTGGGATTCTGTGTCTCCCTCTGTCTCTGCTCCTCCCCTGCTTGCACTCTGTCTCTCTCTCTCTCTCAAAAATCAAAAACATTAAAAAAGAAAAAGAAGGGGCACCTGGGTAGCTCAGTTGGTTAAGCGTCCAACTTCAGCTCAGGTCATGATCTCTCAGTTTGTGAGTTTGAGCCCCGCGTTGGGCTGTGTGCTGACAGCTCAGAGCCTGGAGCCTGTTCTGGATTCTGTCTCCCTTTCTCTCTGACCCGCTTCTGCTCACACTCTGTCTCTCTCAAAAAAATAAACATTAAAAAAAATTTTTTAAAGAAAAAGAAAAGAAAAAGGCCATACTAAATTAAAAAAAAAAAAAAAAAAAAGAAAGAAAGAAAGAAAGAAAGAAAGAAAGAACTTAATATAAATCTCTTAATGGAGATTTTTTAAAGTAGGTCTTTCCACTCCTGTAGGCCACTAATATGTTTCCAAGAATCACTCTTCAATCTACCCAGAATGGTAAATCCCATCTAAATACCACCTCCACAGATAAAAAGTTATCATTTAGGGAAACAAAGGTTATGATGTCATCTCTGAATATTTGAAAGTACAAAAGACCAATTTTAGGGGCACCTAGTTAAGGTTCACAGTCAGTTACGCGGCTCGACTCTTGATCTAGGCTCAGGTCATGATCTCAGTCTTGGGAGTTCAAGCCCCATATCGCTCTGTGCTAACAGCTCAGACACTGAGTGGGATTCTTCCTCACTCTCTGCCTTTCCCCTGCTTGTACACGTATTCTAAATAAATAAGCAAACAAACAAATAAATAAGCAAACAAACATTAAAACAAAAAAAGACTGGGGTGCTCTGGGTGGCTCATTAAATGTCCAACTCTTGATTTTACCAGGTAATCTCACAGTTTCAGGAGTCTTCTCCCACATCAGGTTCTGCACGGGCAACTTAGCTTGAGATTCTGTCTCTGCCCCTACCCCACTCACGCTCTGTCTCTCTCAAAATAAATAAAACTTTTTAAAAAATAGGGGCGCCTGGGTGGCGCAGTCGGTTAAGTCCGACTTCAGCCAGGTCAATGATCTCGGCTGTCCTGAGTTCGAGTCTCACACCGGGCTTGGGCGATGGCTCAGGAGCCTGGAGCCTGTTTCCGACTTGTGTCTCCCCTCTCTCTGCTCCCCCTCCCCCTGCTCATGCTCTGCCTCTGTCCCAAAAATAAATGTTGAAAAAAAAAAAAAAGAAAATATTATAAAAAAATAAAAAAAAAAATTAAAAAAAAAGGGCACCTACGGCTCAGGGTTGTTGTTGCCTGATCTCAGCTCAGGTCATGGTCCACAGCGTGAGTTCAAGCCCCACATCAGGCTCTGTGCTGACAGCTCAGAGCCTGGAGCCTGCTTCAGATTCTCTGTCTCTGCTCTTTCCCGGCCATTTCTCTCTCCTTCAAAAATAAATAAACATTTTAAAAAAAGATTAAAAATTTTTTTTAATTTTTAAAAAGACTGATTTTTGAAATGTGGCCATTGTCTACAGACACGCATTTCATCTTAAAAAGGAATTTTTTTTCATTTTCAACTAATAAAGTACCTGAAATGATTATTTTAAATTTTGAAGGTGCTTATTTAATTTTAACATGTGTGAAGCATTATACAATACCTGATGTAATAATATGTATTACCTAATATCACTTTATATTATATATTCAGATTACCATGGTTTTAGTATCTCTTTGAGATTCATAATGAGATCAATCCTGCCTGTAATTTAAGAAGCATATTTGATCTATTAGATATTATTCAAACATTTTATAGTCAACATTTCATTCTATTAGATTTCTCTTTTCCATGGATACATAGCTTTTAAATTATAACTTGGGAGCAGCTATGAATATCAATGCATCATACTCCTATATTTTACCATCCCTGATTCTTTCAAAGTCAGTCATATGATACATGCACTTACAATTCTTAATTCCCCCTCATCATATGTTAAAAATCTACATATGAGGGGTGCCTGGGTGGCTCAGTTGGTTAAGTCTCTGACTCTTGATTTCAGCTCAGGTCATGATCTCACAGTTCTTGAGTTTGAGCCCTACATCGGGTTCTGAACTGACAATCTCTCTCTCTCCCTCTGCCCCTGCCACATGCGCATGCACGTGCACTCTCTCTCAAAATAAATAAACTTAAAAGAAATCTACATATGAAATATTCCAATTATGCTTATCTTTTCTCACCAGAAATACTGTGACTATATTTTCTGTGTATTTATTCAGCTCTTAACAATCTCTTTTTATGCATTTGTAAAGGCTTAA